TCCCCGCATCCCAAGCTGGAATGAGACAAACCACCCCAGTGCCATCTAGCAGGGACTTACTGTGTGGACACCCAGGAAGCCCTGGCCCTGGCTGGCCCCTCCCCACCCCACAAAGCAGCTCAGAGAGGTTGGGAAAGAGGCTCTTTGAAGGGAGCAAATTCTGCCACGGCAACAAGTGATCAGCCTTCAGGAGGAAGGGGATTGGCTGAGCTGCAGGGCACAGGCAGGGGGCCTTGCAGTGTGACTGCAGCTGACAGCTGCCCTCTCTTGGCAAATATCCCATCTTCCAAGGTATCTCCAGGCATCCGAGGATCAGAGGAAGAAACTGAGGACCAGATCAGTCCAGGAGAGACTCTGTGGCGTGACCCTGGAACCCTGGATCAGAAATGAGCCCTCTGACATTCTCAGGGAAGCAGGCTCAGAGGGTTCACATCTGTGAGACTTGGAGCTGAGTAGACTAGGGGGAGCCCGGTAGACTGGGCCCCAGACCAGAAGCCGAGTCTGAATATAGGCTTCCATCTGCTGGGCTATGTAACTCTGAACAAATCTCTCAGCATCTCTGGACTCATCAGGAGGTTCCCTATTAGAGTTTTAAATAAGGTTAGGAGTGCAGACCCTTTGGGGTAAAGTGGGATCCTCCCAGGCCAAACAGAATACTGAGCCTGGTTCTAAGAGTCCTGGCCCAGCTGGGGCCAGGCAGAAGGGACCCCATCCCTGCTGGTTTTCTGCCTGTCCAAGACATCTGGGGTGGCATGGGTTGGGCGTTGGGAAGGGATCTAGGGTGGTGAGCTCAGGGCACTGAGGGCAACAGAAGCTCATGTCGGCTTCTATTCACTCACACAACAGACGCTTTCTCAGGGCCAATTAGGTGCCCGGCACTGTTCCAGATGATAGGGATTCAGCGATAAACAAAACCATAAGGCTCTCGGCCCTACAGCTGACATTCTAGTGGACTCCTCTTGACATCACCCGCACACACACATACACACACTGGCTCATACCTAATGGTACATTAATACTACACTTGCCAACTCGCCACCCACAGGATGAGCACTCAAAAATGGACTCGTGCTGCTGGAGTCCCCACCACACCAACACGCACAGGCACATGTATGTGCACAGGGCCCTGGTGAATTGCAAGTCACCACTGAAATGGCATATTAAGATCACACATCATCCCCCTTAGAACCTGTGCGGATGTGTAAATACAGACCCACTACTACTCTGAAACCTTGAACAAAGGAGTCACCATCTCAAGAATACACACATGCAGACACAGCAGAAAACCCCAAGTTCCGCCAGGGAGCCTGGTGATGAGCTGGAACCAGGCCAGAAATGTTTACAGGATCTGGTATAAAAGGCCCTAAGATTGAGAGAGTGAGATGCCCATCACTGGAGGGTGCAAGCAAGATCAGGAAGCGGGGACTCCTGCAAGGGAGACAGGCCAGGCCAGGTTGAGAAGCCTCCCACCATGCCTCTCACAGGAGCTGTGAGGGGATGGGGTAGCCAATCAGGGCCCATCCTGGCTCCTACCCTGCCTGGCCTTCGCCTGGCACACATACTTAAGGCTCAGCTGTCGTGAATTTTTCTACTAATGGGCTTCAATGACTTTGTACATCCTGGGAGCACTAGGACTACAGATGCCCACAATTCGGATCTGCTCACTACAAGGGGCCAGATTCCTAACCAAGGAAGCCTGGCCTCCCCAGAGTTTGGCTAATGGGTTAAGTTCAGACAGGCTCTGAGAGCAGGGGCTGGTACCCTGGGGAATGCACAGACTTTAGCTCTACCCAGCAAGTCTCCTGAACTCAGCTGTCAGCACCAGAAGGACCATTAAAGGCCAAGGAGGGGGAAACAAACACAGGGAGCAGCTCCTAATGGGAGTCACAAAGCTAGCTAGGCCTGCCTCCCAAGCAAAAATCCTGACCTCCACTCTCCCACTGTGGGTTTTGCCTCCTCAGCCTTTGTGAGCTCCTTGTAAACAGGGACCTATCTTCTGTCCTTGTTTACCCAATCCTATCCTCCACAACCCCCACCCCCGAGACAGGCAGGCAGACACACACACACACACACACACACACACACACACACACACACACACCCTGATGATGGCATTAAAGAAAATAGAAATTACTCTTGCATGGAGGACAAGGGC